CCTATTTTGTCTGTGTACACAGGCAATTCATTAAGAAGATGACAACATTTATCTCCCAATTCCTTGTATACATAGGCAATGTACAAAAATGTGTACACAAAAAGGACTCATTGTTAAAACAATTGATTATGTGACTAACAATCTGAAATACGTGCTATTCAAAAGGTTTCTGAAAATAGAGTGAAGACATATTCACTCATTTTACCTGGCAATTAGCAAGGAATAATACTACTACCTCCGTAAGAAAAATGAAGAGGATGACACGATTATTAAGAAAAATGAGTTTGTGTGGCTGCTATTAATTGATAAAGTAAGAATAATTTAGAGATACACAAATTTTACCAATATGAGACAATTTTAGTGAGATTTTTTGAAAAGGTAAAAGAGGCAGTATAAGGGGGACAGAGGAAAATTTTGTGTTGCTAATATTCTTTTAAATATTTTCTTACTGAACCACAACTTAATATTTTCACTTTTATTTTTACTTTTTAAATAATCGTGTCAAGTCACACTCAAATGTTTTTTTGGGAGGGAGGAGTACTACATAGCAATAATGACACAAATGATCCTGTCCGGACGTCCGGACAGGAACCGCCGTCCGGCCGGCGGCGTTTGGCCGCCTTCCCGGTGGAATTTTTTGATGAAATTTTTATGGCATGTTCTCCATCAAGTCTAGTTTATCCACAAAAAAATTCAGCCAAAAACTCAATCGGGAAGGTCGTCAAATGATTTTTGCAAGTTAACTGGTCCGGAATATGTATTTTCCGGACCAGTTAACTTGCAAAAATCATTTGACGACCTTCCCGATTGAGTTTTTGGCTGAATTTTTTTGTGGATAAACTAGACTTGATGGAGAACATGCCATAAAAATTTCATCAAAAAATTCCACCGGGAAGGCGGCCAAACGCCGCCGGCCGGACGGCGGTTCCTGTCCGGACGTCTGGACAGGATCAGGACTCGCAATAATGATACTCATAATAATAATCCTGGCCTATTTAGGGTGTGGGCCGACCTGGCCTGTTCTGGCCATTGTGACAAATCATTGTTTTTGTTTTCGAAATGGCAAATAATTGTTTAATAAAAATAGTTTGATGTCGAAAAAACACAAAGTGAAATCGTTTTTTTCCCTTTTAACTTGTGGTGGGATCGCCACAAACGTTGGGTGAACCAACGCAACGCAACAGCAAGGGGGCAAAACCGTAAATCAAATCCCCGAATTTCCTTATCTTTATATACTGCTCGTTCCGTCCATCGAATGTGCATCCTGTACAACCAGATACCCTTTCCTGACCTCTCTCTTTATTCTCAAACATACTTTTCTTCTTCAATAAACTCAAATTCTATATTCAATTTCATCTCCGGATTCCTTTTTTGACTATATTTTTGCTGTTCGGTGTTCTTCAGATCGTTCTGATTCCCGCAGTTTTCAGGAATTTGATCATTTCGTTAAAGCAGCAATGGAAAGTGTTACTGATAGAGATTGCTTCTTCGATAGCCGTGATGAGATCAGTTCAATTTCAGGCTCAGATTGTTCTGAGTCCTGCTATGCCAGAAATGGAGACGACGCATTGGGGTACGAAATCTGGACTAATAACCCAGACAGCGTTGATGTCCGCCGAAGCAGGCTTCTGAACTGGATGGGGTTGGGCTCTGACTGGAAGATGAACAACGAGGATGAAATCCAGACCGGTGATAGGGTTAGGGATAACAGCGAGACTGTCCTGGCAAATGAAGATTGCGCCTTTTCGGGCCGGGATGAGGCTTTTGAATATGTTGAAGAGGATGATGATGAAGATTTGGTAGAAGATGAAGAGGAGCAAGAGAAATCATTTCAAAAGGCAGTTGGATCTTCATCATTGGTTCAGAAGTTGTTGCGCAGGGATTCAAAGGAATCTGATAATGCTTCTACCAAGAAGAAATTGAAGACAAGTTGGTTTCAGAAACTGATCGAAGATCAGAGCAGGAAGATTAAGAGCGCCCGTTTGAATTTCAAAAGCTCTGATTTGAAGTCCGGAAGTGGTATGGAGAAAGTCCGGGTTCACACACACAAGAAGAACTCCAAAGAGCTTTCCTCACTCCACACAGGCCAGGAGTTTCATGCCCACCAAGGCTCAATCCTCACAATGAAGTTCAGTCCTGATGGTGAGTACCTAGCAAGTGCTGGAACTGATGGAGTAGTGCGTGTCTGGAAAGTGGCTGCCACAGAAGCTCCTAAGAGTCTGAACCGTCAAGATGCTGATTTGTGCTTCTCCATGAGTGATTTGTGCAAATTGACTTCACTTGACCAAGACAAGGAGAAGATGGCCCAGGCGAAGAAATTGAAGAAACCATCAGAATCAGCTTGTGTCATACTCCCTCCCAAAGTGTTCCAGATTCTGGAGAAACCAGTTCATGAGTTCACAGGCCATTCTGATGAGGTTTTGGCGCTCTCCTGGTCGAGAAACGGGTTTTTGCTGTCATCCTCTGTTGACAGTACCGCTCGCTTGTGGCAAGTTGGACATGATCAATGCCTTGGAGTTTATCCCCATAACAATTTTGGTAAGTTCAGTTACCTTAAAATATATTGTTTCTATTGAGAAATGTTTGAGTTACACTTCCTTATTGTCTGTGCCTTTGGCTAACCAAATCTGTTACTATTTATGCAGTTACCTGTGTTGAATTCAATCCCATGGATGAAAATTACTTCATTAGCGGATCAATTGACGGAAAAGTGCGCCTTTGGGAGATCCAGCGTGCCCGAGTGGTCGATTGGATCGATGTGAAAGAAATGGTAACCGCTGTATGCTATCGCCCTGATGGCATGGGTGGCGTTGTCGGGTCAATGGATGGAAGTTGCTTTTTCTATGACATTGAGGACAACCGTTTGCAATTAACCTCTCAAGTAAGCCTTCAAGGGAAGAAGAAGTTGAGCAGAAAGAGGATCACCGGGTTTCAGTTTTGCCCGAAAGATGGGAGTAAAGTTATGGTCACGTCTGCAGACTCCCAAGTAAAGATTCTCCACGGATCAAACGTTGTTTGCAAGTTCAAAGGTTCCAGGAATGGTGCAAGCCAAGTTCCAGCAACCTTCACATCAGACGGAAAGCACGTTGTTTCAATATCCGAAGATTCAAACGTTCACGTTTGGAACTTCGAAAACGAGTCTGGGAATAAAAAAAACATATGGTCATCCGAGAGTTTCTACTCAAACGAGGCATCGATCGCTATTCCGTGGTGCGGTTTTGAATCAAATTCAACAAGTTTGCCCGGAGGACGACCGCTGTCAAACGGTGAGGCGGATGAAGGTTTCACCAAGGGTCCGGGCTCTGCGGATTGTTTCTCTTTGAGCCGAGGGTTTTTCTTAGACTCCTTGACCAACAAGGTTTCCCCTGCATGGCCTGAAGAAACCCTTTCCGAGGAGTCCAGTCCTGTGATGATATCGCCTTCCATTCCCAAGCCCGATTACAAAATTTTGAAGAATGCTTGGCAAAGTGCATATGAGTCTCCCAACTTGTGGGGGAATGTGGTTGTTACCGCTGGGTTGGATGGACGCATCAGAACATTTCTTAACTATGGTTTACCCACTCGTTTCTGAGAAGTGTTTTTTCACCAGTGTACATTGTTGCTGTATAGGGAGGGGTTAGGTTTATAGCATTGGCATGAACATTGGAGATTATAGAAGAAAGTAATTCGTTTTGTATTCAGATAGGAAAACCATAAAGCAGAAATTCCCATTATGTAATTAATACTTGCATCAAAGTTGTGTTATTGCAAATTTGCAATATCTTTGATCCAAATGTTTTTGTTGGATACATTGAAAGAAATATCTTTGATCCAATTTTCTTAACAAGATATTGAGTGATCAAGTACATATATGTCTGTTTAATATTAACTCTTATATAGAATTAGCTCTCGGAATGTTATGTGCAACCTCACTTTTTGAGTTTGGACTCAAAACATTGCCAATGTTAACAAGCGCTGACTATAAAAGTTGACACTTTTTAAAATTGTCTCATAGAATATAAAAAAAACATATTTTATTGAAGGATAACACATTCACATGCCACATATGGGTAAGAACCGTACTAACTTATCTCAATGTTCAACCAAAATAAAGTTATCACTGAATGATTTTCAAACCAGTTTGATAGTAGGCATAGCAGCCCCTATGCTTCTATTTTGCAGTCTTAAAATGTGCCAACTTTTCTGTCATCCCATTTTGTGCTAAATATAAATTTCTTAAATAATACCATAGACTAATACATTCTTTTCAGTAGTACCACTCTTTTTTCTTGAATATTCACACCCCCTTTTTATTGTTTTAATTGTTTTATTGAAATGAAACTGAGTTCTTAAATGGGAAATAAAACATAGTTAATCTTAATTTGAACTTGGTCCATTTCAATCATACTATAAGTAATTACTTAGATTTTAAGTATATCTTCAGTACCATAAAGTTTTTGTGACAACATGAAATGATTTTTCAACTAAGAAACCAAGTACACAATTCAATATCTCTAAACCACTAAAAATATTCTGTAGTTCTCACGGCTTATACTTGTTCAACTTTTAGCTAATAAACATTATGTTGATGTTTTTGGTACATGAACATGGACAGAAACTATCGCTGTGTACACATTCATCGTTCATTCGAAATAATCAATTCTTTGCATGTTTTGAATGAGAAAATAATAATGAGAAAAACAAGTCATATGCCAAGGAATATTAGTTTTTTTTATTACTAAGAAAAAAAAAAGGAAAATACATATTCTCAGTTTTTTTTTTTAAAATGTGACTTATTACCTTAATTACTTCACCTACTTTGCAAAAATGTATCCATAGGAGTAAAAGATAATTACCTTAATTACTTCACCTACTTTGCAAATTACTTCACCTACTTTTCAATAAAATATAATTCACATTTTATTGATGTGACTTATTACCTTAATTACTTCACCTACTTTGCAATATCCAAGTCATTTTATCATGAAAATTGATCATTATAGAACTAGTTTTAAGAATAACAAGAAATAGAGAGAGGAACCTTAGCAGCCGTCTCCCCTCTTTGTAGGGGTTGAGATTTTCCGTCGCCCCTATCAATATGGGATTGGAGCGGCAGATGATACTACTTTTATGTGTTCTAGCGCTTGGGATTGCAACTACGTTGGAGGAGATATCGTTGGCGGATGAACGAGATGCGGCTGGGAGGCTGGATCGTGAAGCCTTAGTCGACCATTCCGACGGTGGTGGACTAGTGGAATTGGTATTCACCCATATTGTAAGAGCTCGTCCTCCTCTGGAACCACCTCCATACCAGGAAGAGCTTTGTGGAAAGATTTTATTTCAGTATTATTTTCTCTTTAGTAGCACTTATTTCTATTTTAGTCTAAGTAGATTTGGTACGAATGTTTGGATTTTTGGAGTTCTTTTGATAGACAGGGGGTTTGGCTCCGATTGTTTTAGGCCTAAATTTGCCCGTTTCAGGTTTCACGAGTCATGTTGCTTTGTATAAGGTGGCTGACTCTAAGTCTAATCCTATGGTTCACGATTGAATCTGTAATTTCTATTTGAATGTTATCTTGTATGTGTTCACGATTTTAATATAACGACCGCTCTTTTATGATAAAAAAAAAAATAACAAGAAATAAACAGATTTACATCACAAGTTAGCATATAAATTGATTATTGGGATCAAAACTAAATTGAGAAAAAAATTCTAAATAGGATGAAAGGTAACACATTTCCTCAAATTTCTCCGCAATTGTATTTTCACAAAATATAACTTTTATCCTAGGAAAAAAAATCTACGGCAATGTTTGTGGCTTTTGATTTTTACTAATCCTATTTTGAAAATAATGCATAATTATTACTATTTGTGAATCATTTACTCCACATATTGGTTTTAACACATTATTACTCATATTTGTGACCTTTTACTCATGAGTTTTTAGCATTACTTTTAATAGAAAATTTGGCAATTTGAAACTATACATTGGAGCGGCATATATGAACCAAATTGTCCATGAAGTATTCAGGCTTAGCTTTCAATTCATAGGTCGTTGTTTCGACATAGGGCCAACCGACCATTTGGGCTGGCCCAATACCACATGAGGACATTTCGGGATGGTTTAAAAACACCAAGTAGGAGGATCGAACGGTCCTTATATAATTGGAAAAAAGGTCAAATAAATTCTTATACTATTGACTATTTTTGAAAAAAAAATCATCTAAGCCCATATACTAAAAAATCAATGGGAAAATGGAAATTAATAATCCAACCTTTTAGCGGTCTTCTTACAATTGTCTCACCTTATCGTTATTCATGAATAATACAACATTTGCACCTCATCTTCATTCGCTGGTCCCTGACCGGTTGATGACATGTTATTTCAAGTTTTATCATTTTCTTTGCAAACCATTCAACCATAAATTCCACCTTTCACAAATCTTCACCAAGCAGTCACACATATCATTTTTATTTTTTCTTCCTAAAACTTTTCCTTTATTATTTTTATCATCTTGACTCTTTTATTCCCCCTTTTGGTCTTCTTATTCTTATTTTTATCACTTTTCAATTTCTTTTTCCAATGTTTATGTATTCCATTTTTCCTTCTTTTTCTTCTTCCTGCTTATTATTTCATTTTCATTTTTTATATATTTTTTCAGATTAGTTTTCTTATAAAAGATCTTTTTCTCACAGTACTAACTTTTTACTTAGTTACAATTATTTATTTCCTTTTTCATTTTCTTAACTTTATTCTACCACTAATATATATTTGAGAAAATAATTCCAAATAATGCACAAATAGGACTATGTTATTTATCTTCTCAAAATAGGACTAAAGTACCATCTATCTTCTTATTCTACATTTCTAACCTTACCATAACCTAATAGGATAATCATATTTTACATTATAATAAAAATAAAAATAATAAAAGGTATTTCATTTTATAAAAATATAGTAACAAAATTAAAAGAAAGTTAATTAAAACAATTTTTTTATAAATAAAAAATAACAAATAGTGATAAAAAATAATTTAAAAAAACATTAAAAATAAATAGAACCAGATAAAACATATTAAAATTTTTTTTAATTAACTTTCTTTTTATTTTGTTACTATATTTTTATAAATAGAAATACCTTTTGTTATTTTTCTTTTTTATTATAATGTAAAATATGATTATCCTATTAAGTTATGGTAAGGGTATAAATAATGTAGAATAAGAAGATAGATGGTACTTTAGTCCTATTTTGGGAAGATAAATAACATAGTTCTATTTGTGCATTTCGGGATTAGTTTAGTCTTGTTTTGGAGCTATTTTCTCAAAAATATATTAGTGGTAGAATAAAGGTAAGAAAAGGAAAAAGGAAATAAATAAGTGTAAGTAAAAAGAAAATAAAGTAAAAAGTTAGTACGGTGAGAAAAAAATCTTTTATAAGGAAACTAATCAGAAAAGAATATATAAAAATGAAAATAAACTAATAAACGGGAAGAAGAAAAAGAAGGAAAAATGGAATACATAAACATTGAAAAAAATAAAATAAATTGAAAAGTAGTAAAAATAAGAAAAAGAAGACAAAAAAGCGGAATAAAAGACTCAAGTCGATAAAAATAAAAAAGGAAAAGTTTTAGGAAAAGAAAAAAGAAAAATGATACGTGGGACCATTTGAAGAAGATTTGTGAAAAGTGGGATTTATAGTTGAATGATTTGCAAAAAAAATGAAAACATCTGGAATAGCATGTCATCAACCGGTCAGGGACCAGCGAATGAAGATAGGGTGCAAAGATTGGATTATTCATGAATAACGATAAGGTGAGACTATTATAAGAAGACCGCTAAAAGGTTGGATTCTTAATTTCCATTTTGCCAAAATCAATCACATAGATACATTTACTGATGAAAAACAATCAAATAGATCAAATGACCGGAAAGCAACCTACTCTAGCATTTTCTTCTTTTCTCTTTCCTTATTTCTTTTTTGAAGCACATCAGCAGCTTGTTTTTTCAATTCCTATTTCTCCTTTAATTTTTTTCTTTCTCAATGCCGATCTTCTGTGGCGACTTATTTGTTATCTTTCATTTTTTTCTTCATCCTATCATTCCAATGATTTCTATTTTTACTCTTTTCTTCTTCATTTTTACCCCCGCTTCCTTTTTATTTGTTGCCTTCTCCAATAAATATTCTGTTTCATTTGTTTCTAATTATTTCAATGACGTGTTTACTTGAACTTATTTCAGTCTCATACTAGACCATATCAAACTTAAACAAATCAGATCAAACTTAAACAGACCAGACTAGACCATACTTCGATAGTTATAAAATACACAGAGATCAAACATTTACCAGATTAGCTCAGACCAGCTCAGCTCAGACTAGACATTTACCGTTTATCAAAAACAGGTTTTTGGGGTAGGGGCAAGGAAACACCCTACCAGTTTATTAGAAAGAGGAATACAAAGAGTAGGGGGCCAAACCGAAACCTGGTCTGTTTATCTGAATGATAGCCTCATGATCATTGCGAGAGATAACCAGATCATCAACATAAACAAAGACATTAAGCTGAGTAGATCCCCTAGTGTGTGTGTGAATAGAGAATAATCAACATATGACTAAAGAAATCCATAACCTTTAAGAGAACCAACTAGCTTGGCAAACCAACAACGGGGTGCATGCTTCAAGCCATAAAGAAAGGGATTCGAAGCAACATATCTCGATGAAACATGCATGTAAAACACTTCATCCAAATCAATGTGTAATAATGCATTATGGACATCCATTTGATGGAGTTCCCAATTTTGGATGCCGCAACAGCCAAGAAAGCACAAACATTGACATTTTGGGCACTGGAGCAAAATCTTCATTGTAATCAAGCCCCTCAATTTGGCGGTTGCCAAAGATAACCAAACGAGAATTAAGGCATTCAATAATGCCGTCAGAGTGGTATTTGATTTCATATACCCAACGGCAGCCCAACGGCTTTTTTCGGGCGGAATTAAGGCACGAATTTCAGTGCTCATAGCATCACGCCAACCCGCATCGCGAACAACTTCTTGAAAAGAGACTGGTTCTTTACTAACTGAGAGTGCCATCAAGAACACATGATAGCAGTCAGAAAATTTATCACAGTTAATATAATGAGCTATGAGAAATGGTGTACCTGAGTCGGACGATGAAGGGGGTGTTTGGATCTGATTCTTAAAACTGATTCTGCTCCTTCAGGGAGCAGAAGCAGAAGTCGGAGTGTTTGGGTGAAAGTGCTGAAGTGATTCCGGTGCTCTAATTTACTCCTAGAATCAGTTTTTTAGAAGCTGGGGGGACCAGCTTCTGAAAACTAATTCTGATTCTGCTTCTGCTTAAAAAAAGAAGCAGAAGCAGAATCAGTTCTGTTGGATAATTGATACCCATATTGTATAAACAGGAGAGATTGGACAAGAATCAAAAGGAGAAATGGAGAAGAAGAAGAAAAATGTGTATTGTGTATGAACTATGAGTTCTTGAGTTCTGGTTTACAAGCCTCCTATAAGGAGTATATATAGGGAAAATCCGGGTCTGAGCCTCTAATATGGGCCCGACAGACCCGGTTACATAAATGGACTGATAGTATAAAAAGCTAATCTAGAACATTTGAATAATAATGTACAATAAAATGAATTCGCTAAACGTGTGTGGGCCACTGTCCAGGCCCAATAGTCGACAAACCGGGGGGTCGGAGTCCATATACTCCATCAAGTTCCAAACAGCCCCGAAGAGGATGGAACGGGTAATGGGCGATCATGCATGATGGTATGCGTCTTAAAATCTCGTAATCGGACATATAGAAGTTTAATCTGTCTCCCACAACACATGTCAGGCGATGAAGGGCCAGAGTCAGAGGGCACCTCAGAGTCAAAAGGTGCAAGAGCAAGAGATTCGGTAGTAGGTGGGGAATTAGAAACCTGTGAAGCTGGTGCAACACACGGATACTCACAAGTATAAAAGCTGGTAAAGGTGTAGACTCCTCCTAGACAAGGAATGGGGGTGTATCAAAAGGAAAAATGTCCTCAATAAATTTGACATCAAGTGAGACAAAATATTCCTCGGTCTTGATGAAGTCGTAAACCCGCCAACCCTTTTTACCAAAATGGTACCAACAAAGACACATTTATGATTCCGGCTCAACAACCAGGTAACAATATAGACATATTCTTGGCACCATTGATTGATGACTTGAAGAAGTTATGGGATGAAGGTGTGTCGGTGTTTGATGGGTATAAGAAAGAATATTTTACTCTGTGTACCATGGTTTTGTACACAATAAACGATTTTACTCTGCATATAGAATGGTTTTCTTCCTCCATTCTTCTTGCCAAAACCAACTGAGAAGAAGAATTATTTGCCTCCGGCGGCTCACACTTTGTCAAAAAGAAAAAGAAAAAGTTAGTTTTTGTGAGTGTTTACGTGGGGTCAAGGTACCCAATGGTATGCTTCAAATATTAGGAGGTTGGTCAACATGAAAGAGTTGAAGTTGGTCAGGTTGAAGTCTCATGATTGTCATGCCTTAATGCAACAACTATTGTGAGTTGCTATTAGTGACATATTACCTAAAAATTCAGACACACTCTTACAAGGTTTTGCTTCTTCTTTAATGCTATATGTGCAAAAGTTATTGACCCTCACACACTTGATGAGTTAGAGAAGGGCATTAGTGTTACTTTGTGTCAATTGGAGATATACTTCCCGTCTTCTTCTTTTTTTTATCATGGTGCACTTAGTTGTGCATTTGGTGAAAGAGATCAAATTATGTGGACCACCATACTTGAGATGGATGTACCCACTTGAGCGTTACATGAAAGATTTGAAAGGGTATGTGAGAAATTGTTTCAGGCCAGAAGCGTCTATTGTGCAAAGCTATATTGCAGAAGAAGTTGTAGAGTTTTGACCTGAATACTTGAATGGAGTGGGATCTATTGGCCTTCCTAAGTCTCGTCTTGAAGAGAGAATTGAATGGGTGAGGACACGAGGGGATAAGGCGTTGACTATGACTCGTGCTGATATCGAGGAAGCACACTTGTATGTTTTACATAATATGAGCGAAGTTGAACCATATCTGGAAGAGCACATGAATAGAGTAAGGGCGCAAAATTCAAGGAAAAGTAAGATGTGGATTGTAAGTGAACACAATCGTTCTTTTATCAGTTGATTTAAAAATAAAATCCTTAATGATGATAATATCACTGGGGATATATGTTTCCTTGCTCGTGGGGGGTTTGATTATAATGGATTTTCATTTTACACAAAGGAGCAGGATGATATAAGCACAATGCAGAACAATGGAGTAAGTTTGGTCACCAGTGCAATGCATTTTAGTAGTTCTAAAGACAAAAATACCATATTTGCATAAATGTCATATTTTGGCGTGATTGAAGAAATATGGAACATTGACTACACAAACTTTAGAGTGCGTGTCTTCCGATGTAGATGGGTCGATAGTAAGCAAAGTGTGAAAGTTGATCATCTTGGGTTCACACTTGTTGATCTCAGCAGAGAAGGTCACAAAGATGAGCGTTTTATAATGACATCTTAGGCAAAACAAGTGTTCTATGTGACCGATCCGTGAGATATAAGTGGTCTGTTGTTTTACATGGGAAGCGACAGGTTATTCCAAATGGGAATGAAGAAGGAAGTTTATATGTGGAAGAGATTCCTCCATTTTCTTTGAACTTATTAGCAATCAACGTAGAAAGCGAGACAGATGAAGTATTTCCTGCACGAAATGATCACCAGGAAGGCTTATGGGAGGACAGATTCTAATTCAGTTTTTACCTCATGTTAAATTTTCTTTTTGTTATTTTAAATTAGTGGTATCCAACAATAGTTATGGCAATAGATTTTACCATTTTTTCGTGTGTCTACATAGGGGCGTTGGATGATAAAATGTTTTGTTTATTCAATCTATTTGGAAACTATAAGTTGGACACAAAAAAACAATATTTCTATCAGTTTTTATATAGGCAGAAATTGTCATTCTGCCTTGAGCTCAGAACTATCAGTTTTGTCTCTTGCATCTATCCTATGAAAATTGCAAATTGTTTGAATAGTAGCAGCCTATTAAAAACAAATACATTGTTTGAATGCATCTGTTTGAGAGCAAAGAGAATGTGAGCAAAAGTTCTATAACCTGCTTTCTCCTATAATTTATAACATACATACCTACTATGGTGTTTATTTACTGTCCACGGTTTGGACTTATGCACTTAAATTGTGTTGAGCAGCTCTAATTGAGCCTTTTGTTGCCGGAACAGTTAGAAATAGTGGAGGTAAAAGGCATGGTTTCTCCTTTAAAATAGCAGACATACTATCCAAAGTTTCAGGTATTCATGCATTTCAGCACACTTTTCAAGATAACTGAAGGTTGTGTTGTATTACTGTTATTGTATCACAAAATAGCTAGTATAAAATGCACTTTTGCTAGTATAAGATATGTGGAAAGTGTAGTGCTCATGACACATTAATGTTTTAAATTGTCTGTAATTCAGCGTATATATTAGTTGTTATAAATTGTAGTGGTACTATTATTATTGTATATATGTGTCTTTTTGCAGCAATTGAGCGAAAAGTGTAAAGAACTTCAAGCGAAAAATGTTTACAAGCATCGGTTGTCCCGGGGCAGATACTATAAATTACAGCAAAAACTGATAAAGAAAAAAACAAAGAACAAGAACAAGCTACTGCCTCAGACCCATCTTTTGTGTCTATGCTTGTGACATTTATTCCGAGACATATATTGTGGAGAGAAGGCCGAGTGGATGAAAATGCAGAGTTTATTACTGAAGAGAGCAAAGAAGTTGCCGAGAAAATTGTAAGTATTATATTAATTTACAATTATTATTGTGGACTTTATTATTACAACGATTATTAATATGACTATGTATATTTTTAGCTTACTAGTTATTTTGGCAATGGTCATAGGTTCAATATGAGAGCAAGTCATGAGTGGAGAATTTACTGAAATGGGAAGAAATGACATACTGAGTGGGTCATTAGGGAAAGCAGAACATCCAGGTCGTGTTAGGGGTGTTGGAGGAGAAGCAACGATAGGAGAATATTTTGGCCCCCGGTCCCGATGTGATGGGAAATACATATTTATGGATAACATGCAAGAGTTGATACTAAAGCAAATGGATCATTTGCAAAATGGATAATATGAATAGGATGCAAAAAAATGGAAGCAATGATGTAGAATATGATGTGTAACAATGCTACTCCTCAATTTGTTGATTCAAATCAGAATGAACGCGTAAATGCAGGTCCATCTCCGAAAAGTGAAATAACGAGTTGCTCATGTTGGAAAATGTGTTAAAAATTGCATTAAGAAGCTGTTCTCTTCACCTGATCTGAATGTTTCTGATCTGAACTTTTTTAAGTTCTGATCTGATCTGATCTGAATTTTTCTGATCTGATCTGAATCTTTCTGATCTGATCTGATTCTTTCTGATCTGTTCTGAATGTTCCTGATCTGATCTGAATGTTCCTGATCTGATCTGAATGTTTTAGATCTGATCTGAATCCTTCTGATCTGAATCTTTCTGATCTGATCTGAATTGAATATTTCTAAAATTATAATTATAATTATAATTATAATTATAATTACTATAATTATACATATATAATTTAAATATAATTATAATTATAATCATAATTATAAAAATTACAATTATTATTATACGTATTACACTAGTTATAAATATAGCTATATTTATAATCATAATTATATTTATAGTTATATTTATTTCTATCATTATAATTATAATTATAATACTTATTATCTATAATTTTATTTGTAATTACTCCGTATAATATGATATTAACGAAAACAAAACTAATAACAATAACAACAACAACCATAATAGTAGTAAGAATAATAATAATCATGATAATAATAAATATCATAATAATAATAATAATGATAAAAATAATAGTAGTAGTAGTAATAGTAATAATAATAATAAGAATAATAATAATACTAATAATAATAATATCAATAATAATAGTAATTATAATAATTACAATAACAACAGGAATAATAATAATACTAATTATTATTATTATTATTATTATTATTATTATTATTATTATTATTATTATTATTATTATTATTATTATTATTATTATTATTATTATTAATATTTTTATAATAATTATTATTATTATAATAAAAGGGATAAATCATGTTTGAACTTTTCTGATCTGATCTGAATGTTCCTGATCTGATCTGAATGTTCCTGATCTGATCTGAATGTTCCTGATCTGATCTGAATGTTTCTGTCACGCCCCAGACCGCAATCCAAGCGCGTGTACAACCGCCGTATAACTAAGTGATGTCACCCACGAGTCAACCTCACTTAGTTACACAAGGCGTTCGAGAAAACAATCCATCCATACTCAGTAGTAAACATACATAACAACATCACATTTAAACCAATGAATAGCGGAAATATTCAACGGTAAGTCATGAGCCACAACCGGCCAACAACATGGGCATGCAAGCCCCAAAAATAGTTTATAGTAAAACAAACATTCATGAGCACGTGTTTGGTAGTTTGAAAGAAAATAAGGAAGCACGAACCACGTCTTCCCGATATGATATCACCCGTGAGAAGGTGCAAGTAGCAAGCCCTAGCTTCAACCTGAAAATGGTGGGGGCCCCCGAAGGGGTCAGTACAAGTACCGAGCGAGTAGCAGGCTAAATATAGAATAACTAGCGTTTCAAGTATAAGACCCAAACATAGGGTGATACTTAAATAAATAGTCTTTCCCCCAAGTTATGAAATACTTATTAGTATATACATATATACTTGGAAAATATCCGATCCGTAGATCACCATTTTATTTGGGAAAAATAGTAATAGTCAATATTCTTGACTAAAAACCCCAACCCACCCATATACCTATGAGTGTATAGGACTCCTCCTTGTCCCTATTTGTATATCATAATCTATGAGTTTTAGGATCATAATCCTTGGATACTCCACCGGTTTGTGAGTGTTAAGGCCTCATAAGTCCTAGGGTCCTCCACCAAGTTTTGAGTGTTAAGTACTTTTAAGTACTAGGGTCCTCCACCAAGTTTGAGTGTTAAGTACTTTTTAAGTACTAGGGTCCTCCACCAAGTTTTGAGTGTTAAGTACTTTTTAAGTACTAGGGTCCTCCACCAAGTTTGAGTGTTAAGTACTTTTTAAGTACTAGGGTCCTCCACCAAGTTTTGAGTGTTAAGTACTTTTTAAGTACTAGGGTCCTCCACCAAGTTTTGAGTGTTAAGTACTTTTTAAGTACTAGGGTCCTCCACCAAGTTTTGAGTGTTAAGTACTTTTTAAGTACTAGGGTCCTCCACCAAGTTTGAGTGTTAAGTACTTTTTAAGTACTAGGGTCCTCCACCAAGTTTTGAGTGTTAAGTACTTTTTAAGTACTAGGGTCCTCCACCAAGTTTGAGTGTTAAGTACTTTTTAAGTACTAGGGTCCTCCACCAAGTTTGAGTGTTAAGTACTTTTTAAGTACTAGGGTCCTCCACCAAGTTTTCCTATTATCAACCTCCTATCAACCTAGATAGAGTCTATATCATACTTAGTTACTCATAACTAATCCAATACATAAATTCTTATGTATCACAATCCATGCAAAACCATGCATTTATATAGATTTATATTTAATTAATACCAACCGGTATTAATTAAATCCTTTGTTCTTCGGTCCACGTTTTCGTTGACCGCCATTTCATGCCTTGTGTGTATCAACTTAATCATCATATAATTAAGTTAATAATATTCATTTGTGCTTCTAATACACTTCAAGCAAATATGCATTTCATATAATTCTTCATATCATATTCCATGCATCAACAATTAATTTCTTTCATACAAACTTAACCCTATTGGCTAATCACATGTTTAAATATCTTTTAAACATCATTATGAACTCATATAACATTTATTTAGGTAATCTCATAATTAACCCAAAAGTTATAAGATATTAAGCCGTCCACTCACCTTGAACTAGCGTTATGAAGTTCTACCCTTCTTGGTTGAACTCCGGTGAAACTCCGGCGACTTTTGGTCAACTCCGGCGACAACTCCGGCGACTTTTCCAACTTTGTGAAACCACTTGAAATACCCTTTACAAGTGCCTAACAAGGTTTTATAATCATAAAACTCATATTAATACAAATAACCTCTAAAAGGTTATTTTCCGGTGAACCGGTAGTTTTGGTCTCTAAGTCCATTCTTGGACATAGAACCATCTTCCTACCCATAAATCCATACTTATAACATGTGGAACCATACTAGGGGTCCTTCACATGATATATACCTCATATGGTAGAAGAAAAATAAAGGAGAAGTTATAATAAGGTCATTACCTTAATTATTCACACTTTTCCCAACTTTTTCCCTCTTTAATCTTCCTTCTTGGAATCCTATGGCTTGAGCTCGAATTTTGGCTATGGAAGATGAGTTTGCAGAGGTCTCCTTGTTCTCTTGGTGTGCCTTGGCCGAAATTATGGGGTGGGTGAGTGAGGAGATAGCCTCTTTGGCTTTTCTCTCAAAATAATGTGGGAATGGGTCCTCCCCATTGTACTTTTGATGCCAAATGCATCTCCTCCTCATTTCCTCTTGTCAACCCAGCTCTCAATTGATGTGTTTAGCACATAAAAACGTGGGGTGGCCCCCACTCATGTGGGAGGTCATCCCTTTGTGTCCCGATGTGTACAATCGGTCCCGAAAGTTGTATTTTTCGGACTGTTTTAAATATATTTTATTTTATCGGGTCCAATAAAATATATTACGTGTTCTCAATCGTAATGGCCTTTTGAAATAATATGTATTCCAAAACATTAATTTAGAAGTCTCCGAAATTCATTTTCGGGCTGTTATCTGTTAAATTGTCGGTACCGGTATTTGGGCCTCTTTTGCCCAATCGGTCAACTCTGGGCCTTTTCACGACCCAAATAAAATATCCACCACTATATAAATATTATTTCGACCCATAAGAATGATTTATGTGATCTCGGGAATATCGGGTGGCCCCTCGCTCCCGGTGTGGGTCCCACGTGCAATTTACTATTCACGCGAAAGAAATAATAAAAATTTACAACTTCGTAAATTCATTAATCCTTTAATAAGGTTCAATACATTATTTACATGAACGTAAATATATTTGGGGACGGTGTTACAAGTTCACCCCCCCTTATTTGGGATTTCGTCCCCGAAATCCAAGTATCTAATTGAAAAGAAATGGGTATTGTTCCCTCATTGAGACTTCGGTCTCCCACGTTTCTTCCTTGACTCGATCACTTCTCCAAAGGACCTTTACCATAGGAATCTCCTTATTCCTCAATTTCTTTACTTGTTGACCAACAATCTTCACTGGTTCAACCGCATATTGTAAGTCCTCACGGATCTCTACCGGCGGTTTATCAAGAATATGAGATGGGTCTCGTATGTACTTCTTGAGCATTGATACATGAAACACGTCGTGTATCTTCTCAAGTTCAGGCGTTAACTTGAGACGATAAGCCACGGCCCCGATCCTTTCACGGATCTCAAACGGACCTATGTATCGGGGGTTAAGCTTTCCCCTCGATACAAATTGAATGATGCCCTTCCAAGGAGAAATCCTTAGGAAGACCTCATCACCGACTTCGAACTCCAACCGTCTCCGTCGTTTATCAGCATAACTCTTCTGTCGGTCCCGAGCAGCCTTCAGTCTATCCCGAATGATCCTCACCTTGGCCTTGGTGATCTCAACCAGCTCTATCCCTTCGAGTTTGGCCTCGCCAACCTCGTCCCAACACAAAGGTGTTCTGCATTTCCTCCCATACAATGCCTCATATGGAGGCATGCCGATACTTGCTTGATAACTGTTGTTATAAGCAAACTCCACTAGGGCCAAATGCTTGTCCCAACTTCCTTGGAACTCCAGCGCACATGCCCTAAGCATGTCTTCCAAAATCTGTATCACCCGTTCGGACTGTCCCTCCGTCTGTGGGTGAAAGGCTGTGCTAAACTTCAGTTTAGTACCCAACGATGCTTGAAACTTTGGCCAAAATCGGGATGTGAATCGTGGATCCCCATCCGACACAATGGATATTGAGACTCCATGTAATCTCACAATCTCCTCCGTGTATAGCTTGGCCAATCTTTCAAGAGGATAAGTAATGTTGATAGGCAGAAAGTGTGCACTCTTGGTGAGTCCATCAACCAATACCCATACTGCATCGTAGTTGTTCACTGTTCGTGGCAGCCCCACCACGAAGTCCATGGTCACATGTTCCCACTTCCACTCTGGGATGGTGAGTGGCTGCAAGAGCCCTGCTGGGTGCTGATGCTCTGCCTTAACTTGCTGCCAAGTAAGGCATCGACTCACATACTCTGCGATATCTCTCTTCATACCTGACCACCAGTAACTTTCCTTCATGTCTCGGTACATCTTAGTACCTCCTGGATGCATAGCATATGCTGAAGAATGAGCCTCCTCAAGTATAGACTTCTGGAGCTCCTCATTCTTTGGTATGCACACACGATCCTTAAATAATAAAAGACCGTCATCACGTACCCGAAAATTCTCAACGGGCCCCTCAAGGATCCGTTCGCGGATCTTCTGACATTCCTCATCAATGGCCTGACATCTACTGATCTCACCCAGCAATGTAGGCCTCACCTCGAACCTAGCAATGAGCGCCCCGGTCGTGGACACCTCCACGTGTGCCCTCAATACTCGTAGACAAGTGAGTAACGTCCCTGACGTACTCTTCCTGCTCAGTGCGTCGGCCACTACATTGGCCTTTCCGGGATGATAGTCGATGATCAAGTCATAGTCCTTGATCAACTCCATCCATCTCCCCTGCCTCATATTCAACTCTTTCTGAGTGAATACATACTTTAAACTCTTATGATCAGTATAAATGTGACACGTCTCCCCGTAGAGATAATGCCTCCAAATCTTCAATGGAAACACTACCGCCCCGAACTCTAGATCGTGAGTAGGGTAGTTCACCTCGTGTTTCCTCAATTGCCTAGAAGCATAGACAATCACCTTACCGTTTTGCATTAGTACACCCTCAAGCCCTTGGATGCTAGCATCACTGTAGATGTCATACCCTATCCCAAATATGGGTAGGGCAAGGACTGGTGCTTCGGTAAGTCGTTTCTTCAATTCAAGGAACCCCTTCTCACACTTGTCGTCCCATATGAACTTGGCCCCCTTCTTTGTGAGCTTCGTTAATGGAGACGCCAATACAGAGAATTTTTCAACAAATTTACGATAGTATCCCGCTAAGCCAAGGAAACTACGTATCTCCTTCGCATTCCTGGGCCTCTCCCAATCCATGATCGCTTTTATCTTGGCGTTATCCACAGCAACACCTGAACCGGATATGACATGACCGAGGAAACCAATCTTCTTGAGCCAAAATTCGCATTTGGAGAACTTGGCGAAGAGTTGCTTTTCCCTTAGCCGATCAAGTACAAGCCTCAAATGGTGTTCGTGCTCTTCCTCGCTCTTGGAGTATATCAAGATGTCGTCAATGAATACTATCACAAATTGATCTAAGTATTCACTAAACACACGGTTCATCAAGTCCATGAATGCCGCCGGTGCGTTGGTTAAACCAAACGACATCACCAGGAATTCGTAATGACCATATCTAGTGCGAAATGCACTCTTAGGTATGTCACTCTCCTTGATCTTCAACTGATGATACCCCGACCTCAAGTCAATCTTCGAGAACACTATTGCCCCTCGAAGTTGATCGAACAAGTCATCAATCCTCGGTAAGGGATACCTGTTCTTGATGGTGACCTTGTTCAACTGTCGGTAGTCGATACACATTCTAAGTGTACCATCTTTCTTCTTTACGAATAGTACGGGTGCTCCCCACGGTGAATGACTGGGTCTGATGAACCCGTTGTCCAATAGCTCTTGTAGTTGGACCTTCAACTCTTGAAGTTCGGCCGGTGCCATTCGATAAGGAGGAATCGAAATGGGTTTGGTTCCCGGCTCCACTTCGATTACAAATTCAATCTCTCTATCGGGTGGAAGCCCCGGTAGGTCCTTGGGAAAGACGTCCGGGTACTTGCACACGACTCGAACATCCTTGATGTCGACTTCTTTCTTCGTATCATCTACCACGTAAGCAAGGTATGCGTGGCATCCCTTCCTCATCATCTTTCGTGCTCTCATCACGGATATGATACAAGCATTAGATTTCCCCCGATCTCCTTCAAAACGTAGCATATTCCCATGATCATCCTCAAGCTCCAACACCTTGGTGTAGCAATCCACTCGGGCATGGTGTTTCTCGAGCCAATCCATTCCTAGGATTGCATCGAACTCCAACATGCTCAGAGGTACGAAATCACAAGTCAAAGGTTGACCCGTCACTTCTACCTCACACGAGGGATAGTAATGATCCCTCTCCACGTCGTCTCCTAATGGTGTGGAGACTAGCAATGTTTGTGTCATAGGCGTCAATGGCACGTCGAGCCCTTCAGCAAACGCCTCACTCACAAATGAGCGTTGTGCCCCGGTATCGATGAGTATCCTCGCACACCTACCATTGATCTTTAATGTTCCTACATTTATACACCATGTAAGATACACTTTCTAGTGTTTTTACACACCTTTAGGAGGTTATTAGGTTCATACTAATGTTTGGAATCAAACGGGGGTCCAAACGTAGAAGAACGGGGCGAAAAAATCAAGTTTCGGGTGCCGGGGGTCCACGCACGGCGTGCCTGGGTGGCACGCACGGCCGTGCGTGCAACGAATTCTTCCTGCACCCCACTGCCTCCCAGGCACGGTGCCAGGCACGGCGTGCCTGCGGCCGTGCCTGGCCAAAAATTTTCGGGGCGCCACTGCCTTCCAGGCACGGTGCCAGGCACGGCGTGCCTGCAGCCGTGCCTGGCCAAAAATTTTCCGGGGCGCCACTGCCTTCCAGGCACGGTGCCAGGCACGGCGTGCCTGCAGCCGTGCCTGGCCAAAAATTTTCCGGGGCGCCACTGCCTTCCAGGCACGGTGCCAGGCACGGCGTGCCTGCGGCCGTGCCTGGCCGGCAGTGGCTGTGTTCCATCTGGTTTGGCCTAACTCGCCCGGTTTGACCCCGGGGTGGCCCGCACTCAATCCCAACGACGTATATGATCAAAGTAAGCCTAGAAATGCCCAGAATAAGTGTATTACCTGCGACGGAGTCTAGGTTTGCCCGCGCATCCGCCTCGGTCATCGCGTAGTCTCGTGCTTGGGCCCCACCTTGATTGACGGACGTAGCGTTGCTCGCCGTTGGTTCCGTATGGTTTCCTTCCACGGTGAGCCCTTCCTTGGCTTGCGATGTCTCTCGTTGCCTCCTCCATGGGCAACTTAATTTCATGTGGGTTGTGCTCCCACATTCGTAGCACATCGGGGGCTCGTTGCACTTTCCGAAATGTTTCTTAGAGCAATTTGAACATTTGGATGGTCTGAAAGAGTAAGGAAAGGACGTATGCCACCTTGAGGTCCTTTTCTTTTTCACCGGTGATGCCAGTGCCGTAAGAGTGCTTTCTCCTCCTTGGTCGTTTGCCCAAGGATGGGTTTGGCTGACAGTCATATCACGTTGGGAGGTGGCCCGATCTCGCCTTGCCTGACGCCTACGTTCGTTCCTCCTGGTGTTCATGTTACACATCGAGCCCACTTGATTAGCGCTTGCCGCTTGGCGGCCCTCACGGACCCCATGGCCTATTCCTCTCCCCGTAATGGCTCGTGACACAGCCCGGCTAGCCTCAAGGTAAGCTACCGACGCTTGTCCCTTAGGGTCATTCCTTGTTGCCATTCGCTTACCGTCTATTTCTGAAACGGAATTTGGACGAGTCTTTAGACTCCTATGAATGTCAATTGACGGAAAAACGTTATAGACACGTATTGACCCAAGTCACCACCATACCAATTGTTAAGGGTACCGTCTTAACAATTAGAGGCCTTGCAACTTAAGCACCAATAGTCCTATAAACGTCAAAATACAATGCTCATGGTTTTTGGTAAAAACTCTTTTGTAAAATCTTATGTGAGAGGTTGATTATATAGTTTAGAACTGAGATGGCTCTGATACCACTTAATTGTCACGCCCCAGACCGCAATCCAAGCGCGTGTACAACCGCCGTATAACTAAGTGATGTCACCCACGAGTCAACCTCACTTAGTTACACAAGGCGTTCGAGAAAACAATCCATCCATACTCAGTAGTAAACATACATAACAACATCACATTTAAACCAATGAATAGCGGAAATATTCAACGGTAAGTCATGAGCCACAACCGGCCAACAACATGGGCATGCAAGCCCCAAAAATAGTTTATAGTAAAACAAACATTCATGAGCACGTGTTTGGTAGTTTGAAAGAAAATAAGGAAGCACGAACCACGTCTTCCCGATATGATATCACCCGTGAGAAGGTGCAAGTAGCAAGCCCTAGCTTCAACCTGAAAATGGTGGGGGCCCCCGAAGGGGTCAGTACAAGTACCGAGCGAGTAGCAGGCTAAATATAGAATAACTAGCGTTTCAAGTATAAGACCCAAACATAGGGTGATACTTAAATAAATAGTCTTTCCCCCAAGTTATGAAATACTTATTAGTATATACATATATACTTGGAAAATATCCGATCCGTAGATCACCATTTTATTTGGGAAAAATAGTAATAGTCAATATTCTTGACTAAAAACCCCAACCCACCCATATACCTATGAGTGTATAGGACTCCTCCTTGTCCCTATTTGTATATCATAATCTATGAGTTTTAGGATCATAATCCTTGGATACTCCACCGGTTTGTGAGTGTTAAGGCCTCATAAGTCCTAGGGTCCTCCACCAAGTTTTGAGTGTTAAGTACTTTTAAGTACTAGGGTCCTCCACCAAGTTTGAGTGTTAAGTACTTTTTAAGTACTAGGGTCCTCCACCAAGTTTTGAGTGTTAAGTACTTTTTAAGTACTAGGGTCCTCCACCAAGTTTGAGTGTTAAGTACTTTTTAAGTACTAGGGTCCTCCACCAAGTTTTGAGTGTTAAGTACTTTTTAAGTACTAGGGTCCTCCACCAAGTTTTGAGTGTTAAGTACTTTTTAAGTACTAGGGTCCTCCACCAAGTTTTGAGTGTTAAGTACTTTTTAAGTACTAGGGTCCTCCACCAAGTTTGAGTGTTAAGTACTTTTTAAGTACTAGGGTCCTCCACCAAGTTTTGAGTGTTAAGTACTTTTTAAGTACTAGGGTCCTCCACCAAGTTTGAGTGTTAAGTACTTTTTAAGTACTAGGGTCCTCCACCAAGTTTGAGTGTTAAGTACTTTTTAAGTACTAGGGTCCTCCACCAAGTTTTCCTATTATCAACCTCCTATCAACCTAGATAGAGTCTATATCATACTTAGTTACTCATAACTAATCCAATACATAAATTCTTATGTATCACAATCCATGCAAAACCATGCATTTATATAGATTTATATTTAATTAATACCAACCGGTATTAATTAAATCCTTTGTTCTTCGGTCCACGTTTTCGTTGACCGCCATTTCATGCCTTGTGTGTATCAACTTAATCATCATATAATTAAGTTAATAATATTCATTTGTGCTTCTAATACACTTCAAGCAAATATGCATTTCATATAATTCTTCATATCATATTCCATGCATCAACAATTAATTTCTTTCATACAAACTTAACCCTATTGGCTAATCACATGTTTAAATATCTTTTAAACATCATTATGAACTCATATAACATTTATTTAGGTAATCTCATAATTAACCCAAAAGTTATAAGATATTAAGCCGTCCACTCACCTTGAACTAGCGTTATGAAGTTCTACCCTTCTTGGTTGAACTCCGGTGAAACTCCGGCGACTTTTGGTCAACTCCGGCGACAACTCCGGCGACTTTTCCAACTTTGTGAAACCACTTGAAATACCCTTTACAAGTGCCTAACAAGGTTTTATAATCATAAAACTCATATTAATACAAATAACCTCTAAAAGGTTATTTTCCGGTGAACCGGTAGTTTTGGTCTCTAAGTCCATTCTTGGACATAGAACCATCTTCCTACCCATAAATCCATACTTATAACATGTGGAACCATACTAGGGGTCCTTCACATGATATATACCTCATATGGTAGAAGAAAAATAAAGGAGAAGTTATAATAAGGTCATTACCTTAATTATTCACACTTTTCCCAACTTTTTCCCTCTTTAATCTTCCTTCTTGGAATCCTATGGCTTGAGCTCGAATTTTGGCTATGGAAGATGAGTTTGCAGAGGTCTCCTTGTTCTCTTGGTGTGCCTTGGCCGAAATTATGGGGTGGGTGAGTGAGGAGATAGCCTCTTTGGCTTTTCTCTCAAAATAATGTGGGAATGGGTCCTCCCCATTGTACTTTTGATGCCAAATGCATCTCCTCCTCATTTCCTCTTGTCAACCCAGCTCTCAATTGATGTGTTTAGCACATAAAAACGTGGGGTGGCCCCCACTCATGTGGGAGGTCATCCCTTTGTGTCCCGATGTGTACAATCGGTCCCGAAAGTTGTATTTTTCGGACTGTTTTAAATATATTTTATTTTATCGGGTCCAATAAAATATATTACGTGTTCTCAATCGTAATGGCCTTTTGAAATAATATGTATTCCAAAACATTAATTTAGAAGTCTCCGAAATTCATTTTCGGGCTGTTATCTGTTAAATTGTCGGTACCGGTATTTGGGCCTCTTTTGCCCAATCGGTCAACTCTGGGCCTTTTCACGACCCAAATAAAATATCCACCACTATATAAATATTATTTCGACCCATAAGAATGATTTATGTGATCTCGGGAATATCGGGTGGCCCCTCGCTCCCGGTGTGGGTCCCACGTGCAATTTACTATTCACGCGAAAGAAATAATAAAAATTTACAACTTCGTAAATTCATTAATCCTTTAATAAGGTTCAATACATTATTTACATGAACGTAAATATATTTGGGGACGGTGTTACAGTTTCTGATCTGATCTGAATGTTCCTGATCTGATCTGAATCTTCCTGATCTGATCTGAACTGAATCTTTCTGATCTGATCTGATCTGAATTTTTCTGATCTGGTCTGATCTGATCTGAATAAAATAAGAATAAGCAATAAGTAATAAGATTATGACGAACAGAACAGCTTCTAAATGGGCAATTTGGGGCAATATTTTGAGTGGGGTCCACTTCCGATTTGAGTCGGATCAAAGTGGTTTTGGATAGTCCTTGTTAACGGGTGAATATTTTGTTAACGGTTTTTCCCCACACCGGAAAACCCAGGGGATTTGCAACCCCTTATAAACAGAAGCATATTCTAAGGAGTTACGACTCTCAGGTGGAAAGGCTCTCTTTGCGCGGGGGGTGGGTGGGTGGGTGGGTGCATATCAAATCCCGAAAATGGAGAAGAAAAACCGCGACTTGCGTGTGCGGGCGACCTGCGGACACGAATGTCGTCCGAAAATCTATCTTTCAAAGATGGACCACTCTTGGTGTACACAAGATGTACACAAAATTTGTACATTGCTTGTGTACATTGACATCAAGTTCTTCTCGTGACGCTTCTTTTTTCCCGTTTCAGACTGCTCGAAGCAGAAGGCTTCGCGTCAGATGCTTCTGACCAGACGCCTCTGATCAGAAATCAGAAGGCTTCGGCCAGACTCGTCTGAATGGCTTCCGAAACGTTCCAAGCAATAAATGCCCATCGTTCTGCAGAGTTAAATGGACAGTTCATGGACGAATTAATGCCCAACACTCTGGTCATTGATGTCCAACGTTCCGATCCATTAATTCTCCATTAACACACAACAAATCCTTCCTATAAATTGGCTAGCAGATGCTTTGCAACAACACACATTCACAAACGAACTAACGTACTTTTGAGCTCTCAAAAACACCTCTAGCATTCTGGAAAATTCCTTCGTGTTCACACCCGTTCTCGTTCGCCGAAGCAGTCGTTTGAGTGCTGAAACGATTGCTCGTTAGTCATCGTATCCTAGGAAACGATCATTGCAACGCTCCTAGCACCCCAGGAGGCAACGAATACGTTTTAAGGACATCGTGTGCAGCACGAGCTTTGGCTAAATTCTGCTCCTTATTTTCTGTTTTCTCTTTTTCATTTAAATTAATTCTAATTAATAAATTTTTCTTTGTTTTTCGAAACACACCCAACAGCTCAGATCCATTTGATAACCTACATGTGGCACTTTAATGATTCATTATACACTCTTTAAAATATAACTCTGCTTGTAATTAATTTTTACTTCAACTTTAGACATGAGAGAATTGTCTATGCTACGTCGAAGATCCTATCAAAATGGTGTGGCATATGGGAGAGTTTATAAGTTTAGAGGGATGCCACATAACCAACCATTATCAAATGACAATGTTCGAGTTGTTGTTGACAAAGGTAATTATTCCAAATGCAGTAGTACCCTACCCAAATGATGAGGTGCAAACGGTGAATGATGCACTCGGTCAATTTATCCATTTGCCAAAGCTACTAGTTGAGTTGGGTGTTGAAAGTGAGGTGTGTAATATTTCCATACTTTCTGACACTTACATTTAAACGATGTAGACTCACTATTCCAATACTTCTAAATAAGGTGCATACACAGGTACAAATATGGCACAATGTAAAGGGCCAAATGACAAACCAGCCGTCTTTAGATCCCAATTGTCCTTCATCTGTTGATGTTACCAGCATGCCCAGGGAGTTTCAACTGGCAAAAACACTAGCAGCTGGGTTGGTTGCCAAGGAGTGCATTGACATCAATATGGATATTGACATCGTTGGAATGGAATATGTATTCCAAATTGACCGTGAAGAGATTCTACGCTACTTAAGGATGGAGACCGTATATTTGTGCTCTGTGATGCTGTTTTGTGTGTAAGTCATTTTTTTTATTGCATTAAAGGTTCTATTCAATATAATTTAATAGAAAAGCCTAAAAATGTCACTTTTGAAGACTTTAATTTAGAACCAAGAATATTCTGATCTCCGAAGATACAAATCATAATTTAAATTACACGTAATAGATGACTTTAACTCCTCTATTCTTCGTAAATAACAAGACTTTAACGCGAAAATCCCGAGTTCCTGATAACCAAAAGACTTTAACTTTTGAGTGTAATTAATGATGTACATTATTTCTACAGTATGTTAATAATTAATTAATTAATGAATTAATTAATTATCAAATTTTTAATGTTTATTATCCGAAAATATTGGTTTTTCTTTGTTATATTGTGTCAGTAATTTTATTTTGTATTATAGATGTTTTTATCATCATTTTGACGTGAGAGGAAGTAAGAAATATGGGTTCTTATGTCCCAACGCAATTCAAGAGAAGACACATGACGATGAAAGGATCGACTATCGTGTCAAGATTATTCTAAAGGGAACTAGGAATTGTTACCTAGCACCGTATCACGAAGGGTAAATTTTTCTATACACAGTTCCCCTTACATTTTATTCTTTGAATTATGTGATTGTTTAAGAACTTACATTTAATTTTTATGAATAACTATTATCTGTTGACAGTAATCATTGGACATTGTTTGTTATTTATCCGAACTCCCTCGAGGTGCTTTGGTTCGACTAAATTAGCGGCAAACCGTCTAAGGACATTAAGCATATCGTGGAAGTGTAGGCTACATGATTTGTTATTTGTTTACATTTTTGAATTATTTCTCTGGGAATACAATATTATAGTTTGCAGCTCTTAAGAAGATCTTATATTTTATTTAATAAAAAATCAGCTTTGAATAGTATAGTTTGCAGCCCTTCCATTCATTAATCATATTGCTTAAATATATAATATATAGGCCGTTCAAAGAAGCTGCTCTTAAAGGTAAAATGTGGGCAAATCGATACAAAGCCACAAAATGGATTACATGCCCAGTAAGTAATTGATATTCTCATCACATTAATAATCTTATATATAGTACGGTTAATCAATTCTAGTTCCAGGATTATGTTCACACATCACCATCTATTGCTCAGATACTTACGTTAGAAAGTTTTCACTATTTTTTGACACATCAAATAAGTAATTTAAATAAACTCCTGAATTCACATACTTACTTTATCATGGCTTTGTGTCCCAAAAGACTGTCTTTGAAGGTGTAGTCAATTAAATAGGATGGATCCAGCAGGTTTGAATGTGGACATATTTCATTATAATTTAGTATGTAATGTGCAGTACTTCTTGTGACTCGTTTGTGATGTTGTTTGTATTCTTCATTTATATTGTAGTGTCCCGCACAAATGGAAGGTGTAGAATGCGGTTATTACGTCATGAGATTTATGTATGACATCATTTTTGGTCAAAAGACACACAACTTGAACAAGGTAATTTATTACATTATTGCAAATTGTATGTAATTGTATATTAAAATAATAAATTAAATCTATATTGCTGCTTACATAAAAGTATATATATAACTAACTAACATACTACTTGATTTTTTTTGTAGATGTTCAGCCGTTATGATAAGTATACATGAGGTGATCTTGATTTTGTTCGAGGGTTGTGGAGCAAAGCTCTATGCAAATATAGTTTGATTTAGAAAGCTCTACAGATGGGAAGAAAGTGGCTCCAATTTAGTTATGTAGTTTATGTTGTTCTCGTACAATATATTTATATATACATCGTATGTCACAACTAGTTTTTTGGGAGTCGATAGAACTCTAACATGATTGTTTTGAATTGCAAGACTAGATGTTGAATGAGACAATTTATGGTGATTTCTTAAGTAATCAGAATTTGTGAGAATTGATTTGGGGTTTATGATCTTGTATGGGAAAGAAATTGTGTATTAAAGGTAGATTTTATTTATTCATTTTAAACAGGAATGGTACCTAATTTCAGTGTGGGTTTTTAAAAATAACACACTTTACACGTCGGTTTAATAAACAACTGACGTTATAGGCCTATAATGTAAGCATATATATTGGTATAGACGTCGTTTTCGACGCTAAACTGACGTTATATTATACATGAATATGGAATGTTACCACGTCGGTTCTATGAAAAAAGCGATGTGTATTACGTAAAATACGTTATAACGTCGGTTGTTTTCTACAACTGACGACGTAAGTAATTTAATAAAAAATAAAAAATATATACAACGTCAGTTTTGTAACCGACGTAATAGCTACGCACTTATAACGTCCGAACTTTCCTCGTCTCTTCTAAAACTGACGTCATAGGGTCAAAATAACCGACGTGAAAACTCATTTCTGTAACAGTGATAGCTAACAATGGGAGTACATTTCAATTTTGCTAGCAATAATATTTATGTGACTAGTCAAGCTATGAGGGCAATTTGCTAACCGCAGGAGAAGCTCTAAGAAGTAAACCAATAGGAACCTTGAATAGTGTAATGAA